ACCATCACAACCATCAAATATTTTATAAATTTTGTGAGACCTACTAATCTAATGGTGTATGTTTAAGAGTGCACAAAGATGATGCGGAAAAGTGGCGTGGATAATATTGTTGTAATTTTATTGATATTAAATTCCAAAAAGAGTTTTGAACAATCATTATATTGAACTTCCTTATTAGTTTTTATAATTCAGTGCCCAGTAGAATCACTTATTTGTTCATTTGAGACGATTAGAACCGCTAAATTTTGTATTGCATGGACACAAACTAAAGAGAAGCTAACTATATTATCATAGGTGATCATAAAAGCAAACCAACTATATTTTTTCAGAGGGCTTTTAAGTTATCCCTACACTAAAGTATAGATTCTTAGAGCATTTAAAAGATACAAAAAGAAAAAGAAAGACGAGGTCCAGACCAGATAAGGTGCTACATTGTTACTTGGTCATCACATGTACGAGTCACAGAAATACTCTCGCTGTATATTAAAATAAGATGTTACATTATAACTTGAGTATATCATATTCGAGTCATAGAAACACTCTCCCCATATATGATAATAAGATTATGAACACTTAACTCTCTGAGAAGACCGAAAGCTCCGATTACTCATCTTAGTTTAATGGATGCATTTGGGAATGCATGTTTCCTATGCAGAGTGACATGGGATTCCGATCGAGGACCACTGAAACTTGGAAGTAACCTTTGAAAGCTAAGGTGTAGGTTTTGACCAGCATTCTTTTTTTGGAGAAAAATGTTTCCATTTTTTATAGTCAGCCTATTACCTACTAGAGGGGGAATAGCTTTTCAAAATCAGACCATGAACCATGACCATGATGACTAGATTGTGTAGGTGAGTTAGTGTTTAATGGCATACATGACAGAACCGTGAGGGCAATGCTTTTCAAAGCAAGAGCAACGACTATAACTCATGCATGGATATGGATTGCTTGTAAAATTAACAATTAAAACAAAAGGTTAATATCACTTTTAGACCCTAAAATATATATTTTTTTATCAATTTAGTCATTGTATCAATTTTATCATGTTGGTCCATAAAATATTCAATTCGTGTCATTTTAATCCCTACATAAAACGGACACAAATTGAATTCCCTCCCCCCTTTCTCTCTCTTCACTTCTCATTAAATCTAAAATCATATCTAGGAACAATTTGACATAACCGCCCAAATAGCACATTTATGCCAAAAAAAAAAAAGAAGACATTTTAGCAGAACAATTTGTCAATTTTGACCATATGATTCGATTCTGCGTGTCTAAGCATATGTACCTATGTAATAAAATGTTTCAACGTAGTGAATACTTTTAAAATTTAGTTAAATCTAATATTTCCTGTAAAATCTAGTGTCCTCACCCTTAATAGTAGACCTAACAATTCTAGACACGACTCATAAAATCGACACAGATTTAACTGGTTTGAGTATAGTCTTAACGGGTTCGGGTGGTTAACGGGTTAACTCGACACACCCATAACATAAATGAATCGGTTTCGTGTTTAACCCATAAACTCGTTTCAACCCGTTTAACCCGTTAATAATTATACTATAGATTTTTTTAAAAAAAGTTAAGTCTTTGAATCTCTGTCTTATCTCACACTTTCCATCTCTTAAACTCATTCAAATTTAGTAGTCATTTAATGCTTATTTTTTGTCTTTATTGTTTTGCTCAGCCTCGATTCATTGTCATACTAAACAAGTCAAACATGTGTAATGTGTAGTAAATTGATGATTTTTCGTGTGTACTTGAAATACTCTAATATATTCTCTTATTTAGCATGTGACACATGGGTTATATCGGGTAACTCGTCTAATAAATGATTTGTGTATGGGTGTAATAATTGGACTCGTTTATATAAACGAATGGGGTATGAATTGAGGATTTTTTGACACAAATTTATTTCACCCAACACAAAATCCTTCCGCTCGACACGATTGCCAAGCCTAGTTAATAGTGGTGGAGGAGGTGATGTTTACAACAGGACCTTTAATACTCATCAGATGAGGGCTCAAGTGTAGTCGGGTTGACGAGGTATCTCAAATACCATAGTCGATGTCTTGGTCCCCTCATGTAGACAACGTGCTTCTTTTAGTTCCCCCTGCGTGCAAGCATGTGTTTCTTGCCCAAGTCGTGCCCCACTTGATTTTGGACCAGGAGTACTCAGTACCAATGGGCAATGGCATTAACTTGCATACGGAAAGACCGTTTTGATGACGCCCGAGTCACAATAGAGAAACTCATGCACATCATATTTCATTAAAATGCACAACAATTTTGAGTATGGTCTGGGAATAGGCCCATGACATGGATTTCAGATGCTTACTGTGTTTTTTTTTTTTTTGTTAGACACTATTATAATGGAGGGATACGACAAGGTTTGAACCCACAACTTTTAGGTCCAACAACGGAGATGGTGGCCATTAGGTCAATCACTAACCTCGATGGTAGCTGTGGTTTTTTTGTGGTCAGGGATGCTAGCTGTTTCAAGAGTTATAATTTGAGGCTGCCAAATCGTGTACTTATTATCAGAAAATTTGACTATGGGATCGTCCAAGGGCCCAGTCTGGATGGGTCTGGCTAGTCCATCAAAAAAAACCTCTCTATCTGTTGGGTCATTTCTGACATATCTTTGGTTGGGTACCCATCAACTAGTTATATGGGCCTAGTTAAACAGAACACTTGCCCAGGCTAGCTAGCCCGACGAGCTTAGCCGGCCTAAATCAAATGTCCATAGTCATACCCGTGAGTAAAAGGGCTAAATCCATCCGTTCAATCGGCCACGACCCCTAAGTTCAATTCGTACTCAAATCCTTATTCCAAATGAATTGAAAACAAGTTTTAATCATTTATTCAAAACTCACACAGGAGATTTAAATTTTGTATGGCCAGATTTCACCCTATTTTAAAAATTCAATAATCTTATTTCCCGCTCTTTTAAATTTTGGTTTACTTTTATTTAAATTTAAATTTAAGTGTATTTATTGGAGTACCTTATATCAAATTAAGTTTTTATTCAAATTTAAATAAATTAATAGAACCAACCAAAACGATGGTTATCTCCACCTAATGTATGTCAAGTGTCACAATGAAAGGCCATTGTCAAAAGCCCTTATACAATGTGGAATGCTGCACACACACTACCTCAATATATACCATCACATTAAGGGTCATAAAAAGTTTATTAAATATTCAATAATTATTATGATTATGTCATGGAAATTTCATATAACCACCTATGTTCATATCACAATTAGAAATATGGTATGCTGTCTTTGTCTACTATATCTTACAAACTAATCAAACTTCATTTTTAATTTGATTGTGTTTAAAGATTTGAACAACCTTTTGGTAAATCAACTTTAGGGATTGGAATTTCCTATCATGACATTAAGATAGTTCATTTTGCAGTAGTGTAATAATGATATGTCAATTTTTATATTTCAAATTAACATTGATAAATAGGTCAATAAGTTCGATTAACTTTTTCTAATCATACATCGACTACTATTATTAATATGTACATAAAATTTGATAGAAAAATTTCAATTATATCCCTTCTAATTTATAATAAATTTATGGACATCTTTTTTTATTTTCTAAATCTTCACTGACATCCTTTGTCAGATTAAAAGTGTTAACTATAATATAATTTTATTAAATTAAGTATATAAATTTTAAGAAACTTTATCTATACCCCCTCTGGATAGGTATGTCTTCAATGAGACTCCTTTTATTTTCTAAATTTTTTACGTATTAATATTCGAACCGATTAAAATTTAATTCAAACTAATTAACATTCCTTTTTACGTATTAAAATTCAAGTTGATTTGAGCTCTACTTGAGTTATTAGCACAAATTAAAATTTGCTTCAAGTCTATTAAAATTTATATTTTTTTAATTATTAAAATTCGTATTAATTAAAATTCAATTAAAGTTGATTAAAATTATTTTTTACGTATTAATATTTCAGTTGCTTAAAATTTATATTTTTATATATATCAAAATTTGGGGCGATTAAAATTCAATGTCAATTGATTAAAATTATAATTGGCACAAATTTTAATATAAAGAAAAATAAATTTTAATACTTAAAATTTGTGCCGATTAAAATTTTAATCACCTCGAATTGAATTTTAATTTGCTCAAATTTTAAAATATAGAAAAATAAATTTTAATTAGCTTGAATTTTAATATGTAAAAAAATAAATTTTAATCCACTTGAATTATATATAAAAAAAATTATTTAGGGTTTATGCAAGGACAATTTTGGTATTTTTTATGATTTTTCATTTTTTTGGTTGGAAACAATGGTTTAACCACGTGAGGTGTTAGTGATATTTAAATATAAACTAGAATGTGTGTCAAATAAGTTTTTGATAATGAAGGGGTATTTTCAAAAATATAATAAACTAGAATGGGGTATAGCTAAAATTTTCTCAAATTTCATAAAAGTTGGGTAAATATCATAATTAGTCCCTAAATATTATCTTTAATTTTAATTTGACCCCTAAATTTCTCAATTAAATCCTTCTATCAATTTTTATAGTTAGATCAACTAGAAACTAGTTCAATTTGATCCATTTCAAGCATTAAATCATATGTTTCTATTTAGATCTAAAGGTGAAATGGATGAAAATATTTAATTGAGATAAAATTGATAGTTGAAAGATTAAATTAAAAAAATTAATAGTTCAATAACCAAATTGAAACCTGAGACAAAATTTAGGGAGGAAGTATGAAATTTACCTTAAAAAGTTTAAATAAAAGGCCATAACCATACTTGTTATTACAGAAATACCCTGAACAGCGAGCTGGAATTTTCACATTATTTTATGCGCCGCTATTTTTCGTGTAGAGCAACGTTATATCGATTTAAAAAATTAAATTTCATAATTTTAATTATTGATTTTATTATAAATTTTAGCATTTATGGTTGGGATTCTAATTTTTTAGTATAATTTTTATTACTCGTACTTTGACGAACTGTGACACCCAAATGACGATGATACGAAGAAGAAATATGTGATAGACACTCCACACGTACATACAGAGGGGGGAGAGAAGAGACAGAGAGAGACCTGCTTCTGTTGTAGAACACCTTACCTATCTTCTCTCTTCCTCTCGAGGTGAGTGATTGGGGAGATTGAGTAGCGAACCAAAATGGAGAAAGCTCTGACGAAAGTGGGGAGCCTAAAAGCAGGTACATTCTGGGTTTCCAAGAAAGCCAAAGAAGAGATCTCCAACATCTCCCAAGACCTCTCGGTATGCGTATGCCCACATTTTTCTTCTTTCTCTCTCTCTCCTGGGTCCAATCTCATTACCCATTGTTGTTCCATTCGTTGGAATGTCTAATCTCGAACTGTCTTGCAATGTTGCTTGTTTGGAAATTACCCGGTTGCTGATTGTCATTCAATTAAGTTTTTGGGCCTTAATTTGTGGTTCTGTTAAATATCCAGATTAATAATATGCAGTTCCAGGAAGGTTTCATTAATCTAGTCCTTAGAAATGTAAAATTGAGAAGGAAGTACATGATATGATTTGATGGGATTGGATGAGATTGAAAGGCTTATAGAGTGGGCATTTGAATTTTGTGGAATTTTTTTCCAGAATAATGTCTAAATGGAAGAAGGAGAAAAGGAAACCAACGTGAACAGTAGTAAAAGGCGTAGGTTGCAATGACAGATGTGGAGAAATAGAGGGAGCTGGAGTTCATAATACGTATTCAGTTCATTTGGGTTTATGCTGATTTTTTCAATTTGGATCTGATCTACATACATGTAAAGATTAACACAAAATGGTTAAAAAGTAAACAGTGAGTACTTTAGCCTGCCAAGTAAGCTAGGTTTGTTCTTACTAAGTTCATTCATATCTAAAAGCATCCTCTAAAACTAGCTAACAAAAATTACTTTTTTTTTTATTCATGTTGAGATGTATTGCATATGCTGTATTGGAAAGGAATGCCAGGATGAAAAGTTTCTAGTATATTAAACACAAGATGTCTTTATAAGGAAATCTTTGGCTTCTGCTATTGATGATACACATTGAATTTTATGTCCTGTTTGATGGCCAAGAATACAAGATAAGAAATTTTTGTCTTACGTTTTTTTATCGTCTAATTTTTAGAATAACACAAAGCTACTGATTCTTTTTCTTGATCTCTTTGTTCCTGTTTGTCGTTTCAAGTGTTGGTTTTTTGCTTCCACCTTCCTCATAACTAATTGACTTGCCTGAGATGTTTATTGAAATTGGTAGTGCTAGAATAGATTATATTGCAAAACGTCTATCTTTTATGATACTCACATCCAGTTGATGGCTTTCGTGTTGTCACCTATGATGAATGTGCATAATTCAGCTATTGATCCGTTGCAGCTTTGTTAGTGTTGTGTATGTTCTGAATAGGTTAGTAGAAGTCTTGAAGCCCTTTCTATGTAACTTTGAAGTGCACTTCTTGTTCGACATAACAGCAAATCAAGTGAGTTAAGCTTAAGCAAAACGTAGCAAACATAGCATTAGATGAACAGACAACTGTAAGTCCCATAGTATCTTTCTGTGAAGCTTGAGCTTTTTGTTTCTGCTTCATATTGGTTGAGAATAACATCAAAAGCTTGTGCAATTAGAAAGTCAGGGAGCACAAGTCCCCTCCAAAGAGACATTCTATTCTTGATCAGCCGGCTGTGGGGAAAAATTTGATGATCAATGATTTTTATCTAAGTTATACTTTAACCAATGTTTTGGCTCTTAACTATAAGTGTGCTTTTGATTCCAGACTTTGTCGAACACTGTTGAAGAGAAGGCCAAATGGATATTCAACAAGCTGAAAGGTGTGAAGTTATTTTCGGATTGGCTAGTTTATCTTGTCTTTAAATGTTTAGATGGCAATGTCCCTGTTATTCTTCCTTTTTTATGGCCTAGAAATGACTTTGATTGACCGCTAAACATATCTACATACACCATATCTGTAAAAGCTGCTTCGTAGGCTTTGTAATTTTGATCAGGTGGTAGCTTAAGGGACTTAATCTTTGCCTATGTGCATTGGATGAAAGAAGGTCCCCCATCTTTGATGCTTTTTCTCTAAGCCATTTAATTTCTCATACTAAATTTCAGCAAGATTGTGCTTTCAGTTGTACACTTTCTATGCAAATTCAGTAGTTCCATTCTAAAATTCTAAAGAATTTACAGCTAATATGTCTGAGATTGATGGTTCAATTCAAATTTGGAAATAGCTCTAGCATTTCTAGCTGTGTTCAGAAGTTGTTCCCCTCATTTGTGCATGTTCTTTCTTATATGTCTAACTGATATTTTGGTTTGCCTCGCACTTGATCAATTTGAGCCGAGTTTATAATACATATCATGAATAAGCTCCTGATGTAGAATGTATCCCTGATCCCCAATCACCTTCCTTTTTCTGCTTGTATATTGTTACCTCTATTGTGTTGTACTGTTGTACATAAGTGTTTTCTTCCAATTTTGTGGTAACCGACAAAAAAAACATATACCATGCAGAGAAATAAAAAGGAAAATAGAAACTACGTAAATCTAGACATAGCTTTACAATTTTGTAAACAACGCTTAGGTAAAATTTCATGCTGATTGATCTGCGCCTTAATGCACCACTCCATAAGCAGTGGAAGTGTTACATTAAAAGTAATGTTAAGAGCCTGATACAAGTACTTACTTTTCAGTCAGCATATTATTAATCTTGTTTGTCTCTATGTTGTGGTAATCCTCTCACCCTTAATCTTATTCATATACATGGTCTCAGCTCAAAACCTTTGTATAACCTCTGTGTTTCCCTATGCCCTCTTTAGGTGGGTGGACTTGAATTTTGAATGTTAATCCTACGAAACCTTGCTCCCATATGATGCGGATACAGTCACACCTAAAGCTATCTTTCTACAAATGACAAGTTGATACTTCAGAAAGGCAGGCATGAGTCCTATGTATCTCTCATTGTGAAAGCCACATTGGAATTTTTAGAGTATTTGAAAATATATAGTAATCATTCAACTTAAAACAAAAAAAATGTTGGTGACTAATCCACCAACAACATGGAAGTAAGCGATTGGATGACTAGATTAAGTAATTGTAAAGGCATGTATCCTGCTAGTAGTGTGCCTTTATTAGGTTATGTAAGCCACTGCATTGTTTGTGATGTTTGCCACTACTGATAGCACATGCATTTCCATATGAAACTTAATATTGGAAGTATTTCTTTGGTACACATTTGTATTGGATTCATAAATTGGTATGTGGAGCTTACTTTATTTTCTTCTTTGTCTTTCAAGGCAAGCCAGCGAAAGCCTTGCCAGATCTCCTTCGAGAGTACAACCTTCCTCCTGGCCTCTTCCCCCACAACATAACCTGTTATGAGTTTGATGAGTCAAAGAGCAAGCTCATTGTGTACATGCCCTCTGTCTGTGAGGTCTGCTTCAAGGACTCATCTGTTGTGAGGTACGCCACTCGTGTCAAAGGCACATTGTCACGAGGCAAGCTCGTGGGAATAGAAGGAATGAAGACGAAGGTGCTGGTATGGGTTAAAGTCACCGGTGTGGCTGTGGAGAGCTACAAATCTGACAAAGTGTGGTTCACTGCTGGCGTGAAGAAATCGAGGCCCAAAGATGCTTATGAAATGCCTCGCGGTGCCACAAAAGTAGAAGAATTTTGAGCTTATAAGAATTGAAAATGGCTTCAAGTCGTGTTACTCTGGGTTATGTTTCATAATTGCTCTGTGCATGACATTATTCTTTGGTGCATTCCTCAGTTGCCTATGTTAATAGTTTTCGCATTTAAGGTCAGTTGACATGGACCATAAAATCAGGTATCATTTAGTAATGTTTTTAGGTTTTGTTTTGTTGGGATGATTTCTTTTTTTCCTTAATTATTTATGTTAACAACTTTATTTACTCTTATCAATTCGTGGTTTAGCTACTCACTTTGAGGTCTTGACTGTCTTTTCTCTCTATTTGAAATATTGGTTGGGAAGGTGACGAAGAACATGCGACAGTAAAGTACTTGGAATTGGATGATCGTTGTTGTGCTACACAACGAAAGGTCAAAAAGTAATAGTAGAGGCAAAATAAGTCAGATACGGAATTCAGTGGAAGCTATTATTTTTGCACAATAAGAAGGGATCGATGAACTTATTTTAGAAGGTGAGACAACCAGGATCCTTTAGCTTGTGACTCGGAGTACTCGGGGGCTGAACCTATAATGTTGAGATCTATTTTGACAAATATTTGGCAAGAATTACAAAAATTTAGATCCGTTGAACTGAGCATAGTGCGTAGAACTGACAACCAAGTGGCACATAATTCCTATTTTGTCAAAAATTCAATCAAATTTAATTATTTATTGGGTAATTTATTAGGTCCTTGTGAGCATGATTCAGATCAAAAGGAGTTATTATCAGAGTCAAGTGAAATAAGAGGGGGTATGAACTTTGTCGAAATTGGGTATGAATTTTGTCGAAATTGACAAAATTTATTATTGGATTTGTGATTTCTTGGAAGAAATTGAAAACTTAATTAACCACTTAGATTTATTGAAGAGAAAATTACAAGATGGAAAAAACAAAAAAGAGAAAGAAAATGAAAAAAGTTTACAATCGTTAATAGCAATATAGCACACGAACCCCTCACAAATAGCCCAGAAAGTGTGAGATTGAGCCTGGACGAACTGTAAACCTGGATGTTAGGAATTCGACCCTCACTGATGTCGCTCGAATTTAACTGATACTTGTAATTTATGAGTGATTGTAGATATCCAAAATTTTCAAAATGAACTGGCTTGAAAATATTCCTCATTATTAAAAAGAAATAAACCATTTGAATAAAACAAAAAATTAGAAAAAACGACAAAACATGATATATATATATATATATATAGATATATTAATAATTTATAATTGTCCCAGCGAGATTCAATTTCTCTTGAAAGTCCAACAATAAAAAAAAGGGTCATTTGGAAGCCGGTACATCAAATTAGACATAATTGTAAATATATACATAGAACAAAATATTTTTTTTAAAAAAATACACAGTTGATATACAAAAACGTAAATACTCATTTTTTAAAATTTTATTTCCTAAAAACTTTAACAAGACATTTATTAAACGTTGAAATTTTGAGTCATTTAATTCAAAATCTCTTATTTTTAATGCACCTTGAATCATGCGTATTTTTTTTTTGAAAGTGATTTTATTTTTAAATTATATTTATGCATTAAATATTTACTACTACTAGTTTTATAAGAGAATTTTAATATTCCGTTTATTTTAGAATATATCACTTGTTTGAATTTCAAAATTTATTAATATTTGAACTCCATAATAGTGTAACAAAAATAATGTTTAGTAGTTTTGTACATGTCGTAACAAATTCAAAACGGAGATGGACTGTTTTGAATGAAATTATATGAAAATATATATTTGACAAAATCTAATTGTACAATATTTTGTGTAAATGACTTGTTACATTGTTATTATTACACTGTACGAATATTAATATAATTTGAAAACAAAACTACTTTTCCAAAAAAAAAATACTCATGAATCAAAGTGCATTAAATATTATTTGAAAACAAAACCTTTCCAAAAAAAAATACACATGAATCAAATGAGGTCATACAAATATAGAATATTAAAGTTCTCTCATAAAATTATGAGATGTTTAATGCACCACTTTCAAAAAAAATACATATGAATCAATGGAGGACAAAAATGTCACAAAAAAATCAATAAAATTCAAATAATGTATTTAGATACGAATAAGTATCAAAATTAAGGACTTAATTACCCAATATTTTTTTCTGTATATTTTTTAAAAATTAAATCTAATTTAGTATACCCCTTCCGATTTCCTACTAAAAAAAAAGAGATAATGGGATGTGAGTACCTTTTTTAAAACTTGTTTGACTTTAAGTACCACATCCAAACTTATCATCTTTTTAGTCCTATTTTTCATCAAATAGTTATCGATAAGTACATATTTTAAAATATTTTCAAATTTTTTCTAAAATGTATTTCATTACTACCCTTACCATAAATAGTGCATACCTACTTGAATGTAAGACTTTCAAGATTAAAATGTGAGACTTTCAAGATTCTTTTTTGATATTTGTGTATCATTTGAATTTTAAAATTTTATATATATATATAGACACACACACACACACGTAATATAGTGATATTAAACAGTGACATGTTCAACAAAAAAATAGTAACATCAAATAGTGAGACGCTCAACAAAAAAAAGAATAAAATCAAACAGTGACACGCTCAACAAAAATATTTGTGTTACTGTTTGATGTTACTATTTTTTTGTTGAGTGTGTTATTGTTTGATATTACTATTTTTTTGTTGAACGTGTGACTGTTTGATGTCATTGTATTACGTGTGTGTGTGTGTGATATATATATATATATATATATATATATATATATATATATAATTTCAAAATTCAAATGATACACAAAAATTAAAAAGAATTTAAAATTTTCACATTTTAATCTTGAAAATCTCATATTAATTAGGTATGCACTATTTATGATAAGGATAAAAGGGTTTATATGATTTTTTTTTAATATATGTACTTTTATCCTAATTATTTTAAAAAGTGTAATTTTTTCTTTTTAAATGTTTTGAGAGGTACCGGTCTTCTTAAGCCCAATAAAAAAAGCTCAAATAAGGCCCAAAATTTTTCCATGGCCTGGGTTTTAGGAAGGTGATTACTTCATCAGCAAGGTCAGTGCCTCAAACGCAAAGTGGATATTCTAACCTCTCTTTTTAATAGGGCGTCTTCTATTTTGACTTATTATATTATTTCGATATGAAATCAAAATCGTAACTACACACTAATAGACAACTTTTCTCTAACAAGTCTTTGTACATGCGAAAACCTTTTCACTCTATTGCATGAAACTGAATCAATCTAATTTGATCAACCAAACAAAATGTGCACCGAGGAATAACGTAAATAGTGTTCATACACTTAAGGCAGTTTGGTAAGAGGGTATAAGAGACTTAATAAGATAAGTTTAGAGAAAATAGTTCAAAAGACTCTCAAATCCTATGTTTGGATTGGAAATTCAATTCTGAGTTCTCAAACTCGGCCTGTAGCTGACCCCAATATTAAACCCATGATCATATATTTCATTAAATTTAGGGAGAAGTTAGTTTGAAAAGATGGGTTAAAAATACAAAAGACAATTTTATCTCTTAACATAGAAATAAGTTGGATTGATCAAGGATAAAATAAGTATTTATAAAATAAATAATTATTAATAATTATAATATATTTATGAGTCCTATTTATGTATATATTGCATACTAGATATGAGTATATATTAAATTTAATGTTGAATTTAATCTTTATAAAAAAAAATTTTGAACAACTGAATTCAAGCCCTCTCCAAAATTGAACGAAGGCTTTACACTCATCAGCGTGGTTTACAAGCTGATTTAGCTTTTGAAAAAAATAAAATTTGTCAAAATCAATGGTGCAGGTCAATTTTGGCCACACCTCAAAGGTCAACAAATTTTCCACAAAAAAAAAAAAAAGCTTAACAAAAGGTATAGACTCATCCAGCAATATAAGGTCAACTAAACGCTCTGTAATACGAAATATTAATAATAAAAATTTATTGATATTTTCGTTGAATTGTTTGGCAGAAAAATTTGTGTACAGAAATTGATATTTTTGAGTCAAAAAAAATTGAAATAAATTTTGTACTAGTAGATAAAAATTAAGTTAATTTTAATCACTATTATATTTTTCTAAATTGAGAATTCAAGGTTTAATATTAGATAAATGTTTATAAATGTTCTTAAAATATGATATTTATTTTAAATTATTTTTTTAATTACTTCTTGAATTATATAATTTATTTCATTTGTTAAAATTAACCCGAAAATTAAAAAACTATTAAAGATCGATCGATCTTAATGCAGTATGATTTAACGTTTCAAATGAAAAAAAATCTCAATTTTTACTCCAATCAAAATTAAATTAAATATTTATTCAGATCAATCTTTAATATTCAAATTTTACTCTTTTAAAAGATTTAATTACCATATTTTTCATTTTTTTAAATTTGAGGTTGTCCTATTTTAAATTTAAATTTATTCTTCTTTAAATTTAAATCTATTCATTAAAAAATCTTTACCAAATTAAATTTTTTATTCAATTTTCTACTCAAATTTGAGTTTGAAAAACATTGGAGATGCCGCTATAGTTTAACAATTTTTGACTCTCTCTCTCTCTCTCTCTCTCTCTCTCTCTCTCTATTTAACTTCTACCTCTCACTTCTCAGGCGGACTTTTCTGTTCTCTCTTCGGTGCGAGAGAGAGAGAGAGGTGAGATATGTCGGACGAAGAGCACCACTTCGAGTCGAAGGCCGACGCCGGAGCGTCCAAGACCTTTCCGCAGCAAGCCGGTACCATTCGGAAGAATGGTTACATAGTCATCAAAGACCGCCCTTGCAAGGTCGTTTCTTATATATATATACATATCTAGAGAAACAAGATATAATTATATCACATATATATGAGTTTGATCTTCTTTTTAGGTTTCGAGCTATATCTTAATGAATTAGTTTGTTTAATTTGATTTTTCGAATCATTGAGGTATCTACTGTTGATTTGTTGAGTTCTCACCTCATTTTGTCAGAAATTCGGTGCCAGGAATTTAATGTTGTTTTTGGTTGCATTGAATTAATGCCTTGGAATTGTAACTGGAATTCGAGGGTTACTCAAGTAAGACTGGAACTAATTTGGTCTTTGATTCCGATTTCAAGCCAAGAATTTAATTCTCCCAAACGCACAATAAGTTGTGATTCGGGTAATGATTATTAGGTCTTTAGGTAAAGAGTAATCTTTGGAATGATTATTGTTAAATATTTCGAATAGAATAATTAGCTTACCCGAATCATGTCCCAAGATGGTTTAGATGCTCTTTGTGTTCATTTTCTTTTCAAATCTTTCAAGTTTTCTTTTCCATCAATTTTAATGTGGTATGGACAAGAGTAAGCAGTGGATGCTATCTCAATATGATGGGATAAGCGTAGTTGATACACTATTTTGGATAATTGCATATTTGTATTACGTGGTGATTGATAACAGTTGATGGTTGCATATTTATATTATTGGAACAGAATTATATTACAACAAATCAAAATATAAGTTTTGTGATGACAAAAATAAATAAATAAAACACACTTTAGGGTTACAATTCTATTTAGGATTCCAATTTGGGGTTGGATGGATTGTGCTCTATTTGGGGTTAGAGTTACAATTTGGGGATAGGAATTTTGGTGATTCAGATTGTACCCCCACCTCATTTGGGGTCGTGCGACCCCGGGTTGTGGTACCTGAGATCCAGTATCTATGGTATAGAGTAAGACCTTTTGGCATGCCATTTTTTTTTTTTTTTTGGTTTGTTTTGAAGTGTACAATTTTAATTTTCCATGCATGTGAAAGAAAAAAAAAACTGTAACTTCTATGGTCGAAGAACAGAAAACTGTACTTGCGGTTCAGTATTCACGTGGCAACAATATGTCCAGATAGTCAGATACTGTTCACTAAGCCATGTCAATGACTTGATTTTAGTTCTTGTTTTACAAATATTGCAATGATTGATTCAAGTTCTAAGTTGTAGGATTTAGTCCCTATTCTTGTCATAAAAGTGACAATTTAGAACCTGTAAATATGGGAAGGCTAACCTTCCCACCTTCATGGGCGAGGAGCATGTTCCCAGGTCAAGATGCCAAGAAGGCATCAATGAGGGTGATGGGTTATTTTAGTCACTTGACATTTTAGGAAACCCCTTCCTCTTTCTGCAATCATGTTGTGTTTCTCTCTCCTACACTATCTATTTTTATGCACATTAACCTTTACATTTCCTCCCTCCCTCACACACAGAGCCCTACATCCATGCTGGCTAGTTTTCAATCATGGGAATCAAGTGTGATTGAATTTCAACAGTGGAGAACCCAAGAAACAATCTCAGACCAATTGATCTTTGTCTGACTGATTGGAAAATTCAGTTTTCTTAGGCCAAACTATTATGCACAATAGCAATTGTAGAAGTGATGCACTTCCTATTGCTGGATTATAAGGTTAGCAATGAAATTTGGGAATTCCTATGTAGGGGATTTGTTTGACTAATTGGAAAACTCAGGCAGAAAGTACAATGATCGTAAATAAAGGGAGAGTTGTTTTCTCATAACATTAGCTTTTCCTTATTAATATGTGGAAAAATTTGTTTTTTCTATGGTTGTACTGACATAAAAGCTAATACATTTGACATTAGCACTATACCGGTTATTAGACTTTGGATAGATTAGCTATATGCCTATATCACTCTACTATAAGTGATTTTTTTGACAAAACAGTATCAATATTTTTATATAGGGTCTCATCTAAAATTTTTGTTTTAGGGCTCAATTGATGTCAGGCTCGCCATTGACAATAATAGCTCAAAAACCAAACTTTTTGTAAGCCAAATCAGGTTGTGGCTTCATAGTATACAAAAGAATGAGACTTACTGGATTGACAATTATAGGTTGATGTACTTTATTCTACTCATTTACTTCGCTATTGGTGGATTTTTTCTTGGTCGACTTAGCCTTATTGTTTTCATGATAGGTTGTAGAAGTTTCCACCTCCAAGACTGGAAAGCATGGTCATGCCAAATGCCACTTTGTTGCAATTGATGTCTTCACTGCAAAAAAGCTTGAAGATATTGTGCCCTCTTCCCATAACTGTGATGTATGTACTTTTTAAGGGAATAAAATTTTCTCAGTTTGCTGCTTTCCTTCTGAGGAATTCCTTTTTTTTTTCCCAACAATATATGTGAGTATTTTCTTGTTTTGCAGGTTCCTCATGTCAATCGTACTGACTACCAGCTGATTGATATTTCTGAGGATGGATTTGTATGTTGAATATTTCTATGACTAGATATTTTATGTGTTTCTGTGAGTTGGCCTTTCTCACTCAATTAAATATTTCAGGTGAGTTTGTTGACTGAAAATGGCAGCACCAAGGATGACCTGAAGCTCCCAACTGATGATACTCTGCTGGCCCAGGTATTTAATTGCTTGTTTCCTGTAGGAACCTGTTTTATTATCACATGAAAATTCTGCATTACCACCTTTTTTTTTTTGGTTAATTTACTTTACCAAGAGCTTTTTATATTTTGCTACTTTTTTTTTTTTCTATCAGTAGCTCACTATCACAATGAATAATCAACTAATACAATTTTCGAACAATGCATCACAATGAATAATCAACTAATACAATTTTTTAACAATGCATCGCAATCATATAAGAAAGCGTCCTGCTATTACATTTTACGAATAATGCATCTATAGTAGATGAGATAAAAGAGAAGTTTGAAAGAGGATACAATAAAAAATCCTCAAAGTGGGAGAACATAATAAATCAATCCTAAAAGTAAGGATTGACCTCTTGACTTTTTGGTTAGCAGAATTTGATAGAATCAACGGTGGCCAACTTATCTGGGCTTAGTTTGTTACATTCTAATATGATAATAAAACATTGATATGGAATTCTTGAATGGCCACACCTTATATTGATATGGAATTCTTGAATGGCCACACCTTATTTACAAAAATCTGTGGATTGCCTTCCTTTTTTGGGCTCTAGGGTGGGATTACCAAGAGCTTTTTTCATTACTTTGTTTCACCATCCGTGCTCATTTTCCATTTGATTATATTTTATCTCTTTTCAAGTGGTCTACACCTTGCAGCTGTACATGCTTTTTGTTTGTGTTTCCCTCTTTTTTTTTTAATTTTCTATTTAGATTACTGATGTCTCATTATCTGTATTTGGCGCAGATCAAGGATGGTTTTGCGGAGGGGAAGGACCTGGTTGTGAGTGTTATGTCTGCAATGGGAGAAGAGCAGATATGTGCCCTGAAAGACATTGGGCCGAAGTAGCTTTTGATGATTTATATGGGTGGCTAATAGCTTTGATTAGCTTTTGCCATTCACAAACAAAGCAGAGAGCTGTGACATGGGTCTATGTGGGGTAAAAGTAGAAATTATATCACTTATATTAATACCATTTTGAGGCTTTGTTTTTGAAAATTCAATAATACTCTTTTATTTAATGGGATGTGGTGAACTCTGATACTTTGATTGATTGTACTCTTTGTTGAACTGTTGTTGCTTCTCCTAAGTTCTACCCCTGTTGATGCTGGGCTTCTCCCACTCTTGTTGAACTCGGATTTGTATTAGAATGTTTACATAGAATATGATCTCACTTTATCTGCCCCGAATGAGCATTGACAATTGAAATTTTATTAAGGAAGTTGTAATTGTTGTGATGAACTCGATTTTTAGAGAGAAGACATGGGAGATAAAATGGGAATCAAAGTGAGGTCTCACCTAGTCTAGTCGATGAAGGTTGGGACTCATTTCTTTGAGGATGGCGAGATTAGGCCATAAAATTTATGTTGTCATGCTATGATTAGTATTATCACGTCATGTGATAGCACTGATCCAATGTATCTATGCAAAAAATCTTTCAACTTAGATAATATTTGAAATTTTATAATTCGTAATACAATACATACTTAGAAATTTTGTTTACTAAATGGAACAAAAGAAATCGAATGTAATGTGGAATAGACACTAAATAAATATACCCATCGGTTGGAGTCTTGAAGAGAGATAGAGATAGAGGTAATGACAGAGAGTCGGAGAAAGGCACCGAGTGTGGAAAGGAGAGAAAGACTTAGAAAGAAGTAGCAAGCATAGAGAGAGATTGTTATTTTTAAAACTAGATGTCGTTAATTTTTAGGCTTTTTTAAAAAATTTGTTTTGCTATAATATAAACCTTTCTAGAATGTTTTACATAGAATGTTTGTAAAGTACAAGTTCTCATAACATAGGACTGAAAATTTAATTGGAACTCCTAAAATTTTGGATCCTTAGATAGTCATTCAACCCATTCAAAAGGCCAAATTGACTACGCCTCCTCCTAGTCAAAATATCGAAGTGCTTGCTTATCTCACAATGATTAAAATGTATGCGCCTCTCTCACCATCAAGGGGGATTCTTCGTTCATGGAACGGATTATTGAAATAAAACTAATCGTTGAATGTTTGTGTTAATTTGTATTTTATTCATAAAACTCTAAAACATAAATAATTACATTAAAATTGAAGACTCTAAAAACTAAAAAGTTTAAACAATCTTTCAAAATACATTTTGAGGCCCTAATTTTTAATTTTCACATGGGGGGCGGCCCCAAGGCAGCCACCTCAGTGACTTATGACTAGGGTCGGCACTGTTTCCAATTTAAATAATACTCATGAAATAGCTCATAATTTTACAGGGACGGCTCAACATGTATAGAATCTCTTGGCAAAAATGTTAAACGAGATCTACTCATATTCAATATAATAAAATATAAATATTAAATAATGACTAAATATTATAATATATTTTATTTAAAATAATATCAAATTCGATGGAGCAAGAGGTGGATGTTATGAGTTAGATAAAATTTCTAGAAAGTTGGATCTGGTTGTCTTCAACGATGTCTTGGACAAAATGTTTAAAAGTTATGCACCTCTTAGTGGTGTGCCTAACATAACCATGAAAATTTGCATTTTTTTTTAAATGTAAAACTATCAGCTTAAATAAGTTTTTTTTTTCATAAAAACATGCATTCAAATGGTGCATGTAATTAAGCCTGTATACAGACAGCAAGAGAATAAAAAAAAATATTTCCATTGCAAAATGACTATTTTGGAGCAAATGTAAATAAGAATTCATGCATGTTAAATTTTCAAAAACAAATGAAACATGATTAAAAAATGTAGAGAAAAACATTAATATTTAAACGAGAAAATTTAGTAATGTAAATAAGAATTCATGCATGTTAAATTTTAAAAAACAAATGAGACATGATTAAAAAAATATAGAGAAAAATAATAATATTTAAACGAGAAAATTTAATAATTAATTATTGGATGATGAGCTATACCTACACAATTCGTTTTTGATCTTCTTTGCATCGTAAAAAAAAAAAAAATTAAGTAAAAAAAATCAAACTCAAATTAATAGACTTCAAGTTCAATCTAAGAAAAAAGGTACGGTCCATAAAAATTAGGTGATAGACAATTAATTGACAAATTTATTCTCATTGTCAACTCAACGGTATCATATTAAGAGAGAGTACAAGTTTTGAATGCTATTATTTTAAAATTGGGTAAAACAAAAATAATTACATTAAAATTGGAGACTCTAAAAACTTAAAAATTTAAACAATCTTACAAAATTCATTTTGATGCCCTAATTTTTAATTTTCACTTGGGGGCCATCTTAATGGCTTATGACGAGGGTCGGGCCTTCCTTTCAACTTAGACAATATTTTAAAATCATATGATTCATAAATAACTAACAATCAAAAAAGGTTTATGAAATACAATACAAACTTAAAAATAGGTAATACTAACAATTAAAAAATAGATAATAGTGTGGATTTTATTAAATTTTACGCATTATAAATTTCAATTTTAGTCACTATGTTAACACCATATAATTTAGTTTATTTTTTATCTTTTTTTTTTATTTGTTTCACAAATTTGTTAATTTTATTTATGATATAATCATTCTCTATTATTAGATGATTAATAAACTCTATTATTAATTAAATTTTACAGGGTAGTCATTAGTGGGTGGGGCTCCTCCGCTGTTAGTAGTCTAACAACACAGTGTGCTGTTAAGTGGAACGATGTCGTTCCAAGCAAAAATAAAGAACCTAGCAGTGTCTCCAACAACGACGTCGTCTCAGGCCTTAAAACAAAATCGATTTTCATCCAGCTTGCCCCAAATCAACAACCCTTCAGTCGTCTTCTTCTCAGACAAGAACTATTGTCTTCCTCATTCCGATTCTTGCTCAAATCACAGTTGTCTTCAAGTAATATGTCGACCACAATCATCTTCGAGCAATCTGTCGACAACAATCATCTTCGAGAAATCGAAGCCCTAACATTAATGTAAGTTTTGAAATTTGAATAGTATATCTTCGAGCAATCATTCTCTCAAGTTTTAATAAATTATGAACCTTTCTCATGAGTGATTTGACGGCTACAATAGCAACTACTCTCTTTTTTTGGGTAAATCTTCTGGGGAATTTTAAAGCTGCATCCCAGCTGTGGATGCACATTTTTTCTAATTTTGTTCATAATTCATGTGATTGACTGGTGATTCAAGATATGATGTTAATCCCAATAGAAAAAAAAGGGGATATGTGGTTTACTTGTTCTGATAATGTAGTCGATGGTTACTAGTTTTGGTAGGTGAAGGTATATGACACACCCTTTACAAGCATGGCCGAAAGTTGGATTTCACTGCCTACGCTTAGTAGCTTCCTATTCTGAGCAATGGAATTGAATTCACTGCATGTTAATGTGATTGAGAACAGATATATCAATGATATGTGTATAATCAAATGAACCAATTTACAAAGAAGCTCACTGGGATTACCCTAACATCAATGTAAGTTTTGAAATTTGAATAGTATATCTTCGAGCAATCATACTCTCAAATTTTAATAAATTATGAACCTTTCTCATGAGTGATTATATAATCCAAATATAAGCTAACTCGAAAATGGTTTTTATTACTTGTGAACTATACAATTATTCAAGACACAACTAATAGAAAGTCATGGAACTTACCTTCCAAAAACTCATGGAATGCTTTGCATTGTTGCTATTTAGTACTGTTGGGATGCTCTGCAATGTTGTTGTTTAGTACTGCTGTGATGCTATGATTTTGAGAATGAACAGAGCTAGGGTCTATAAATTTCATAACATGTTGACTGATAAAAAGTTCATGTTTTTTTGATAAAAAGTTCATGTTGACTGATGAACAGAGCTGGGGTTTATAAATTTCAGTTAAAAAGTTCATCAGTTAGGATCCCAACAGCTCAAGTACATGACCGTCCTGAGTGACTCTTCAGCCTGTTTGAGCTGTTTGTCAGTTAAAAAGTTATAAACAATGTATTGCTGGGATTTTTGGTACCAACTTATACTAATATTTTTATTTTTTGTTTGTAGTGTCAAAGAATGGCATTGGTGAATGAAGCTTATTTGCATGGTTGGATCCTCCTTATCCTCAAGAGTTGAATAATGAACATAATGGTGGTGGAGCTGCTTTGTGATCAAAGGGCATGGGTTTGATGTATGGAGGCAAGGCTTTCCAGCTGGGCAGAGAGAATGATGCTTAGAGTAACATAAAATGGCTTGAGTCTTTTTAAAGGATTAAAGTCATTTCTTTAAACTCTTGTTCATTGATTCTTTGTAATTTTCCCATTCTTTGGTTCTTGTAATCTCCTGAATTCATGGAATAATTTTTTTTTTTATGGAACTAGTTTGATATATTGGTGTATTGGTTGAAGATGGTTCATGATATGAGTGAATGTGTATTGGTTGGTTGAACATGGTGTTTTGGTGTATTGGTTGAACATGGTTCAACTAATGAATGAATGTGCATTGGTTGTTTAAACATTATGCATGTCTAAGATAACAACTATACATTGAACACCATGAATCATACATAGATGAGATCAATTCCATGAAAAGACAAAAATGTAATCATGTATACAGGCAATTCCAAAGGGATGGTAGATCTTCTAAAACAAGAAAATAGAAGATCCACCATCCCCATAGCCAAAGAATACATTGTAAGTTCACATTTCAAAAATATCAAAAAGAAATTGTCAAGATCAATTGCAGCAACATCCAACATTGCAGCAACATCATTACAGCAAGATAAATTGCAGCAACAAACCACAAACAGTCTGCCCCCAATCAGCAAGTAGTCTAATATAACAACTATTTATTGTCCACCTCGATTCTCATCATTAGAATAATCAACGACGCTGTCCAAGAAGCATGATTCAATATTTACTCGAGCATTTTGAGAAACAATTGATGCTTGAGAAGACATGCTTGAGATTGGATTTGAGTGACTATAAGTTGATGCCCATGAGTAGGTAAATTCATTCATATGTGAATTATGCTCATCTGATTGAGATACCTTCAAAACAAGCATTCAAAGACGTAAGACACAATTAAAAAAAAATAAGAATCCAAAACATCATAACCAAAACATCAATACCTTAGACAACCACTAGTAACAGGCTTCTTCCCAGACATTGCTTGTAGGAATGGTAACAGGCTTCTTTCCAGACATTGCTTGTAGGAATGTCTCAAATAACCACTGAAATGATGCTGCAATTTCATCGTACAATAATGTCGCACCAAATATCACTGTCTCCCTGAACTGGTTGAATCCAATCAAAATGCCTAAGGGTTGATACTTCTTGTTTGTTCGAAATGTTGTGTCAAATGTGACAACATCCCAAAAGTGGCCATAATCAATAATCATCCACAGATCAACCCAAAAAATATTTGTTATGCGTTTTTTGACATCCAATTGGACTCCATAATAAAATGATGGATTCTTAGCTGCTTCTGCTTGGAAATATTGCAACAAACTACTCACTTCACCGTATTTCAAGTTTCGCTGCCTCCTTTCTCAAATGTAATTTTTTTGGTCTTGATGAGTGAACCCTAAGCTTTCTCTCCCACTTGTTTGGGTACTCAAAAGCTCGTAGGATGCCTTAAATGATATCCCACAATCCTCAGCAATATCAATATCGATGTCTTGAGCTACAGTAACTTTCCATTGGGATGACATTATGTGCATACATTTCGCCAAGTGCAAAATGTGATTGTGTTGGTCTTTCCATTTAACAACAACAAATTTTCCAATATCTCTATTGAGGGATATGCACATGTGAGTGAGGCAATTTGTTCGAGTATTGCCCGAGCCTTTTTTGTTTTTTAATCCCTTTGATCTTTACTCCTTTGTCCCTGTTTTACAACAAACGTATTTTCTGTAAATTAATACACCATCCTTCAAGCTCTTATTGTGATAAACTTTTCTCACACTAAATCTCACAGTTCCACCATAATTGTTATAGAACCTATAAGCATCTTCTTTCGAGCCAAATTGCATTCCCATACATGGAGTATTGTCTGCTTTATCAATTTCAACGCATTCCATCTCCACTATAGATTAAGTCTCATACATTAAGCAAACAGTTACACAAATTAAATATAAGATCAAAAACTCAGTTTTAGTAAATTAAATATAAAATCTTATGTATCAAAGTCTATATAACTCAGTTTCAACAAAGCCTAAAACACCAACATCCATATATAAAACAATCAAATATACTCACAAAAACGTAATAGAAAGAATGATGGTAGTCGCATAATTATATCAAGATTCTATAGGAAATTTTTAAAAAAAATTATGAATTTTATGAATTGGAATTTCATAAAAAAAAAAAGCATATTTGATCTTGGAATTTATGAACTTTTCTGCTTCTATGGTTTCTGGAATTTGATGAATTTAATTGTTAAACCATATTTTGAACAAAATGTAAAGGAGAGTTTAAAGCATGTACATCAATTCTATTGATTCTCCATTTGATAAATGAGAGAGAATGATTTAAAATTGAAGAATTAATTGCATTACCAACTGTAGAGGCTATAAAAGAAGTTTTCAATTCTTAGTTGTTTCATGTATTTAGTGTTCCACGATGCTAACTATTGACCTATGAGCAGTCAATTTGAGTTATTTTGGTAATTAATTCTAATATTCATTGAATCTTTTAAGTCTTTCCCTAGAAATAAAGCGTTGGTGAGTATTCTCATCTACACATCATGGATAATCGAATATTCTATAAAAGATGATGTGGTTCTTCCTAGTCTTCAGCTGGATCATTTACATGAAAAGTGTTGTTGAATATTCTCCTTTGTACGCTATGAATGAATGAATATTTTGTAAAACATCACGTCGTTCTTGCTATTCAACTGGATTACTTACTTGAAGCAAATTCTTCAGCTGTATTTGTAAAAAGTTTAGTTAGACCTCTGTTGTTTTTACTAATATGTCAAAGTTGATTACCTGATCCAATTGTAGCTGAAGCAAGAGCTTCTTAGTGTGCTTATTGCCTCTATTGCTTAATAGAGTTTAGATTTAGAATTCTGATGGGGATGCACTGATGGCAGCTACTTTTGTGCGTATTTCAAACCATAAAACATCTAATTGGTTGTTTTTTTCTTTTGTTAATTGATCTTTGTTATGCAAGAGATTACAAACACAAAATAAAGAAATTATCTGAAAGTGTGAAATCGTAGGAGACGAGGTTGAAGTGTTCATCAACCACTACAAAGAAATAAAAAGAGAGAATAGCAATGAAAATTTTGAAATTTTTGTTAGTGATTACAAGTTCTATGCAAAATTTTTTTGGATGCTCTTTAGGCAGGGCTAGTTGTTGATTTTGGAGGGAAAGAGCAATATGTTTTTTACATTTTGTTGATTTGTTCTGCACAAGTAAAAGACGGTGGAAGACGACATCGTTGCTGTCTTTGCTGAGTGCTAAAGTCTTGGCTAAAACGGCACCGTCCACTTAACAGCAAAGTTTGTTGTTTGACTTCCAATTGCAGACGAGCTCCACCCGGTCATCAGTTCTGACCCTGTGGCCCCATAATTGTAATTGGGAACGAGAAACGAAAAACAACCTCGCTAGTTCGCTCCCTCTCTCTCTCGATCCTCCCACCCGTGCTTTTCACCACTCCCATTCTCTGACCAGATTCACTTCATCCAATCCCGGAGATGAGTCATACTTCTCCGCCGCGTTCACCCGAGCACCACCGTGGTAGTGGTTACAGAAACGATAAAGAGGAGAGACCCCGGTTCTTCGACTCGAAGGCGAAGAGCAGGTGCTGGGCCAAAGCCGAAGTAGTCCCAGGTCGAAATCCAGAGAGGTGGCGCAAAGACGCCGCCGGTAACATAGTCTGTAAGCGCTTCGGAAACTGCCAGGGCTGCCTCTGCTTTGAGTACGACCACATCGTCCCTTTCTCCAAAGGTACCTCCCACTCCCTTTCTTTCTGTCTCATACATAGTTAGCTGATTATGTGCATTTCATGCCCATTGTTTCCGAGTTTCTCTTTGGATTATATGTTTTTGCCCTTTTGGGTTGTCAATTAGTTACTTTAGTTCATTTCTGAAATGGGTTTATGGGTTTTGGATGATTGGGTCTTTGGGTTTGCTTGGGGTTTTATTTTTTGGGATTTGGGTAGATTATCATTCTATTTCACCGTTTGTTTGTTTTTTTTTTCTTTTGTCCCCTTTTATAGTTTCTAGGATCGACTGATAGTTGAAGTTGTGTGCTGTAGGCGGTGAATCCGTGGAAGAGAATTGTCAGATACTACAAACGAGAGTGAATAGGTTTAAATCAGCTCATGACCAGTTTGACAAAACTCTGTTGAAAGGGTACTCTTGTGATGTCAAGTTCACCGGTATGTTTGCTTTATTCTCCTTTTCTTCTCTTTTGCACCAGAACGAGTGTTTTTTCCATACCTATCTTATGTCCTACTACAATGCTTACTTCTATGTTTCTTCTTTTTCCCCGGTAAGTCTTGGTTGTTTGATATCCACACTTATGTGGAAAGGTACGTAGTTGGTTGAGGCATAGAGCCAGGTTTGGATCTTCATATTTTGTGTTTTTCTGCCGGTAGCCACCTTATCATTTTTCAAACTTTAATGGGGAACTTCTTGATAAATAATGAGTGTACGTATTTAAGATTGAATTTAACAAGCATATGTTTGACCCTTCATCATGCTGCTGATGGTCGAGGATCAAAGTCAATTTTTGAATACTTCTCTTTTTTCCTTTTTGATAGGAAACAGAAACATTTCAGCAAGTAAATTAAAAACTACAATGTAGTGGACAAGAAATCCATTCGAAGGTGGAGCTAGTGCAATAGCAAAGTAGGAAAAGCAAAGATAAATAGAAACATCAAAACGAATTACATCAATCAAGAGCTATTCTGCATTCTTCTAACCAAATGCTGCCTTCCAATCAAGATTAAGGAGGAAGAAAGGCACACCCTCATAATCTTTTGATGTGGATGCCTAACGAGTAGCCAAAAACTTAATCCTGTCCCAAAGAAAGACCATGCATCAGCTTCTTGAAATAATAATGCCAGCTGATTTAAAATTCTGCCCAATTTGGGGATTATAATTTTATCATGGTAACAGTATATATTTCAGTACCATGGGCAATTCCTTTGGTGGATGAATCTTGCTGTGTCTCAGGATATGTCTGTGGTCTTGTCTCTTGTGACCGAGACAACATTGTCCTGTGAGGTATCAAATTCGTCTAGCACCTGAAACTAGGGAGGAATTACTTGTCTGTTTTAAGGGATTTAGCTTCATCAGACCAGGAAAATCACACAGGATGGCCATCAAAATTGTCGAAGGTTATTAGTGCCAGATGCATGTGGCGACAATAAGGATATAATTACCTCTTAATATTTGTGGAGTTTGCATTGCACTTTCATATATTTTTAATTTTTATTTGACCAAGACTTACATTAATTATAATATATAACAAAAGAGACCAAAATTTATAATGTAAGTATGCCATACTTCCTCATAAATTTTCTTTCTCACCAATTTCCAAATTCGAAATTTTGGATGACATGACATTACTGAATAGAGCATTTTAGCAATATTATGAGTGCTTTGTGTATAACTTGTTGCCTTGGCCACGCCTTTGAACCGTGTTCCCTGTCTCATTTTTGAAAGGTATGTCCCACGTTGTCTCTGCCTTTTCCCACTCCGGAGTAATTTTAAAGAAAAGACAAATCTTTGGAATTGGTACGATCTTAAAGCGAAGCTCACATGGGACTTGGCATGATTGAGTTTCAAGTAAAGCCTTAGTTCTGTTTCAGAATAAAAAGGTTCTCGTTCATTTTTTTCCTGTAGGTTAATGCTATGTGTTTGATTTTGGTGTTAATTTTGTTTGGGGTAAAATTCAATGATGATCTTCAAGTATGGGCTTTGTCACTTCAATCCTAATTCTTTCAGTTGCTTAATTTTAGTCCTTCAAGTGTTCAATTGATGCAACAATGGTCCAACAAAAAGGGCAGTGTAAATTGCCTAACCGAGGTGGATATGTGGGTCTGACATGACCACATTTTGGGCTCACTTTGTGTCCTCAAGTTTTCATTTGTATCACTCAGTTCATCATTTTTAAAATTGTCACTTTTGGTTCCTCAAGTCTTCAGGTGTGTCCATTTATTCCAAGTTCCAGCTTGTCAGGAATTTTAATTTGAATAGGACTCCCCATATCATGGATAAGATAAATTCAACTACATGGATAACAAAAAATCAACATATAAAGAATCTTTATCCCTTCACAAATTAAACTGTCAGAACCCCTATAAATAGAGCTCCAATATATGTCACAGGTATGCAACTTCTAGCTTCTAAAGAGTATTGAATAACTTTGAATCATTTAATGACTTAGGCATCAGAGGTCGACCCCCAGAGCTCCTCTTCGGTCTCCAACTTCTTTTCAAGTGATCAGAGGCCAACGAGCTGACGCGGAGGTTGCCCCAAATTTTGGCATCATCAATGTCCATATTGGGTTTTCAATCTCAATCCTATCATTAATAACCTGACTAATCCTTATGAATATAATCACTAACATCTAGAACTAGTAGTTGTTGCTAAGAATTTTCAGTAACATTTTTTGCTGTATTTCATGGTCCAACCACCCAGGAACCTTTGTAGTTAAAATTCTTTCACTTCCATGGAGCCTACAAGGTTTGTTTCCCACAGATTCAAGTCATAAGCCTATAAGACTGTTTCAATGAAAGACCTCCATGAAATCAACTGTAAGTTGAACTAAACATTTTGGGCCTGCTCATTTGGTGTGAAATTTGGGGATGTTTCTTTGCACTGGTTTTACATCATTCTTCCGTCCTCTCCCAAGTATCACTATTTCAAGATGCTTGATTCATATCGACCTATTGTTAACTGAACAAAATATGCTAGACATACGTTCCAGCTCAAATAAATGAAATAATCGAGGAACATAACTTGTAAAAGTTCCAAAAGTTGTGTTCTTCAGTTTATTTGAGAAGTGAGAGGTCCCCTCTCCACTATCTACACCACTCTCAAAAGGCTTGCAACTTTTGATTGCTGCTAGAAAGCATATTTGCAACCCTGGTATTGCACCTTCATGACAGTCTCTCTGGCATCTTTCCCTTTTTGTGAGAGATGTTTTATCACTGTTACCGTCTTTCTGGCATCTCCACGCAGCAGTTAAGCATCCTTTCTTTTTGCATATTATGCCAACTCAAACCTTGTAAATGGGGCGGTTTCTGCAATCCTTGTGCTTGAAATAAATGTCCTTCAACTTTGGGATGTTAAACATGATTGGTGATTGTGCACACGTTCCACACAGAGAGAGGGATGGAGGAAGTTTCTGCTCTTCCTCTGCCACCTCAAACCATAGCCCTAGCAAGCACAAATCACAATTACCTCGTAGGATGAAAAGAGCATCCAATGTTGTCATGGAATAAAGAGTGTTGCACTTGCTTTAACTGCCTTTTCCATGTGTAATGTGGTTGTACCTTGATATAACCCATTTTTAAGCACAGCCTATGCTTAGACGTGAACAGAAATATTGGTTATATTATACTCCATGTCCAATACCCAACCCAGAGTCTACCACTTGAAGTTGAAATAGAGGCTTGAGAGCGTGACCATCCTCATTTAGAACTATTTTCCCAGGCAATTGCAAAACTTTATATGTTTAACCTGCACCCCATCCAGTCCAAAAACCATAAGATGCTCATATTGCATCCTGGACTTTCAGTCTTCTGGTTTCCCATGATTCGAAAGTTGCCCATCTCGCTCCCGATCAAAACGAGCGTACGGCACTTTGAAGGCACATTCAAACTTTGATTCGTGAGAGTACTATATATACACCCTTGTCACATTTGTTTCAAGGGTGTTGAAATATGTGGCTAAAATCTCTCGATGTTAATCAAACTACAGTTGGTGGTTAAATCCGGAATATATATAAAATTTCAATCCATTGGTTAAATATTGCATTATTCATGACATATTTTATAGATGTATTTTTTGTGAAAATATTATGTATTAAATATTATTCTATGATGATATATGTATACATATATTGCATTGATATAATTGAATGTTTGGGTTGGATCTTTTCTAGTCAGTATGAGTGACTTGGTTACGGGGACCTATCAATTAGTGAAAGACTAGCAATTCTACTTGGAGTATAATTAGTCTACTTTGATTGCAGTGGGTGACTTGGCTAAAGGGACCCATCAAGTAGTGAAAGATTAGCAATCCTACTTGGAGTATAATTAGTCCACTTTGACTGCAAAGGGTTGAGCAAATGCTGGTGGAGTTGAAATAATATTGGGGAATTGAGGATATTTTACTGAGTGGTAACGATTAGTTGAACGGCTAGTTGAATTCTCCTTTATAAATAAGGTTTTCTGTATACTGAGAAAATACACCAAGAAAACACCCAATTTGTGAGAAAATTCATTGTCTCAACCCTACTGTTTTCATATCAAAGAGAATTTTTAATTCTCAAAGGTTAGCTCCCCATTTATCAGATTTATCTAATTCTGTTCTGCAAATTTCTACATTGGTATCAGAGCACCAAGCGATCAATGAATTTTTCGTCGTCAGAGACCAAGAAAATTCATCATCTTTATTTTTTCTATGACTGTCAATTTGTTTGATTGCAAAGGCCTTTGAATATTCTGACAAACAAATTAATCCCTCCGCCCAATATATTTAGTACATTCTGCCACACAACATCCTTGACACTTTCCTCGAAGCAATCATATTTATGTTTTGCTTGAGTTTTCCTTCCAACAGATTTTACAAAGGGCCAATTACTTGAAGTTGCAAATTCATTCAGCGTGGCCTCCTCATTGAATCGAGCTTCTTGATAGTGTGACGAGTTTTTTTTTTGTCTAAATCAATAATTCAAATTCCAGTCATCACAAAATTTTGGAGAACCTGATTACAGTTGTTGCTGAATTGAGCAATTGGTGTTGCAATCTATTTGAAACACTCTTGGAACCACACTTTGGTAACAAAATTAAATCGGATCAGTTCTAACCAATTTTACCTAGTAATTTATTTTTCTATAATTTGTCAATATGGGGTCTAAGGCTGTTAGTGTAGAACTAAGCAAAACCGAGAGACTTAATGATACGAATTATTCAACTTGGAAATGTAGGATCTATCACATATTATTTCAAGATAAAGTTGAATATGTCATTGACACATTATACCCAAAAGAACCATCTCTTAGAGCTAGAAATGCTGCTAGAAACACCTACGAAAGATTCGTAAAGAACGATAAATTGGTTAGGTCAATCTTGTTTACTTTTATGGAACCTGATTTAAAGATTATTTTTGAGGAACATGAAACTGTTAAATCTATGTTTGATGCTATAACACAAGTCTATGGTACTGTCTCTAACACATATATTTAACTATTGATTGAAAAATATAATGGTACTTTTATGAAAAATGATGAGTATGTTGTTGAACATGTTAATAAGTTTGTGGTAATAGTTAAAGAGTTGACATCTCTAGGTAACCCAATTCTCGACAAAATACAAGTTTCTATTGTTTTACATAATATTTTTAATTCATGAGAGTCTGTTGTGATTTCTTTGAATATGTCTGGCCAAGAATTAACAATGGCAAAGTTACTTATGTTGCTAGGCATTGAGGTCGAGAAAAGGACTAAAAAGAAAACACGTAATGTGTCAAACCTAGTTTCTAGTGCCCCATATAATAATGTCTCAACTATTTCATATTTTCTTAAGCCAAGCCAAGACAATTATTTTAAAAGGAATAATAAGAAATATAACAAGTTCAAGAGACATAATGATTTTAAGGGAAAACAAATGGGTATTTGTTATAACTGTGGGCAGCCCGGTCTTACAAAAGAAATTGTACACAAAAGAATAATAGTCAAAATTTTAAAGGATCAAGAGACATTGTGTGTGGTTTCTGAGTCGCTTCTTGTAGACTGTGACTTTCTTGCTTGGTGGATTGATTCTGCCTCTTCTTGGCATGTGACTAAGATTAGAGATAATTTTGTTGAAATAAAGGAGGTGAAAACCGGTGAGGCAGCGACCATAAGTTATATATGGGAAATAATACTTAATGTGATGTGCTTGGAATTGCCACTATGAGAATTTTGTTGCCCGGACAAAACAACCTCATTTTGAGTGATGTACTTTATGCGTCTAATATGCGGCGCAATCTCTTATCTGTGCCACGATTAGATGATAAGGGTTTTGAAGTCCGTTTTCGGTCTTCTAAAGTTTCTATTGATAAACATGGTCGTATTCTTGCATGGGGGACTAAAGTTGATGGTCTTTACCGTTTGAATGTTGTTAGGGACAATAATAAAATTGATTCTTCTTCTGCTTATATTGAGGTCTCTTGTGATGTTAATGTTGATTCTATTTTATGGTATATGAGATTAGGTCATATTAATTATAATAAAATGAAAAAGATGGCTAACATTGGATTGATTCCAAATTTAGATCTTGACTTGAAACCATGTGAATTTTGTATAAGTGGAAAAATGACTAGAAAGTCATTTGAAAAATTAGAAAGAGTTAAAGATTTGCTAGGATTAATACATTCAGATATTTGTGATTCTCTAAATGTTAAAACCCATTGTGGTATGAAATGTTTTATTACTTTTGCCAATGACTATTCAAGATATGGTTATATATATTTACTAAAGAATAGATCAGATGCCTTACAAAAATTTATTGAATTAAAGGCGGAAATAGAAAACCAACTAGGTAGAAAAATTAAAATATTTAGGACAGATCGAGGTGGTGAATACATGGCTGAAATTTTTGAATCATTT